TTCTATGACTGAATTTGAGTTTTTCCATTGGTTGACGAGGGTGGCGCTTCTGGTGGTTCTGTTGATGTTATCGAGGATGGTTTTGCTGATGAGGCCGATTTCGCTTTTTGCCGGGTTTATGAGTCTGCAGGGTAGTTTGTTGGCGATATATATATATATAGGTCTACATGAGAGTATTGTCTGTATCGAAATATAACAGCTACAATACAGAAAATTGGACCTACACTGCAACATTAATCCACCAGTACTATAATCAGAAATTGTGTAAGCTGGACGATACCGGGGTTTCGTAAACACAACTAGGACGAGGACAAAATAATAATAGCACATAGCACATGCACCATATGGTTAAAAAATGTTATTAATGAAAGGAATATAATTGTTGTTTTTATTATTAAATATTAAACATTTATTATTAGGCCTAGGCCTACGGTATTTTTTTCATCATCATTAATACTATCACCGTTATTATTATTATTATTATTATTGTTATTATTGTTATCATTATTATTAATAATAATAATAGCCTAATAATAATTAAAATAAATTCGATTATTATTATTATTATTACTATTATTATTATTATTATTATTATTATTATTACTGTTGTTTGAATAGGCCTCGTTAGTATAAATTATTATTGCGTGTTGATGTCACTAGCGGTATCTTAAAACATTATTTCGAAATCTAATGCTAATTTACACATTGTTCTGTACGTAAAAACTAGTTAATGCCATGAGACTCATACAGGATTAGACAACATCGGCTGACGTGCTAATTGGCCAGTCGGTAACATAAATCAGCTCGTACACACAAACAAACAAGTATGTGGTCCTATATTTATAAACTACATTAACATTATTTGAAAAAAATCCCTACATTAACTCACCACCTCGTTGACGGAAATGACGAAGCAGATCAAGGCTAAAATGATAATTTTTATGATCCGAATGATTTTGTGTGATAAATTAATCCAACTGAAGGTGGGCGCATTGGAAACCTATTCACCACTTCTGTTAGTGCGTACTAACCGTCTCATATATAACGTAACAATAAAAGACCCAGCCAGATCAACACAGACCAACGGGCTTCGACTATTATTTCGTTAATACATTTGCATAATCTGCAATGATTATTTATAACCAAAGCATTATCATTACAAAGCGTGCGATCGCAGCATCTTCTCATCTGCTTTGAGCCATGAGTTAATGTCAGGATTAAAGCATGCATATATTGTGACATAATGATAATGATCATGATCATAAACAACAGTCATAATTACAGTGGTTCGCGCCTGAGGCATGTCTAAATTAGGCCTTGTTCATCATTGTAGCGTTTAAATTCTGAGCATCCATATAAGGATACAGAATTATTTCAATCTTGACGATGCTAAAAAATCAAAACATTCTAAAGCCATAGTCGAAGTCCTGGATCATCTAAAAACACAAACATTAAACCATTTTCAATAGCCTATTTTATACAATACCTGTTTCTAGCCTGAATTATTCTGTCTATCCTGTCATGTCTTAGTGACCATGAGCTCATGATGTAGGCCTAATTGCCTTCAATTTTCAACTAAAAAGGAATGTTGTGATTGTATTTAGAAAAAGCCATTCAACAAAAAATTCCTGTAATTGGGAACCGTTTCTGTCATGTTTTTGTAACTTGTGCACAATGTGCTACGCAGGTATAATAGATATCCTACATTTTACCTCCGGTACCTACTATAAATGAAACGGATAAAAAGACGAAATATATGATAATATAATAATAATAATAATAATAATAATAATAATAATAATAATAATATATATATATATAATACAATTATATAATATAGTTATAATATATATATATATTTATTTATTTATTTATTTATAATTAGGCCTATATATAAACAAATATGATATGTAACAGTGCTCGAATATTCGAGCATTGTTATTATAATTTACAACCTTAATTGTGCATTAAAGATTGGTAATTATCGTGAGGCGAATATGACCCTGAATTCTAGAAAAACAATTAGATGGAAATTTTAATGAAATTGTGCATATATTATATCAATACCTATTTGAAACACAACCAATGAAATGACAGATTCAAGAGGGAACCACTCCCGCCCTAATTTTTAAAAAATTGAGAAAATTTAGTTCTAAAAGTGTCATTCCGGCCACCTAAAGGTGGAACTGAGATGGTCTAAACTCTCCATCTGTGAAATGCCTTTCTGGGCCCTTTCTATTTCGAATTACGGGATCCGCCACTGATCTTTTGGTTTAACATTTCATCAATCGTTCATTGAAATAATATGGTGCGTGATAGCTCAAAACGGAATCCAATAGGCCTACAAGTTTTTCAATGTTGACATGACGAGCATACACATACGATCTACAAAGGGGATATCAATAAGCACCGGTTCAGCAGGAAGGAAAATACCCAAAGACTGTCAATAGCATTGATTTTACACCTACTTCAAATAAGTACCAGAATCACATAAATGTACCGGGGCAGAGGTAAGAAAACAAACCTAGGATCAAATATTTGAATAATTGTATGACAGTGACTACCCTTGCTGCTACTTACCTTCACCATGATTCTCCATTGCGATGCCTGATTCAGATACCATTATTTAAAAACAATTAATAGAATACAAAACCCCGTTTATATACCATGCATTGGTGTGAACGATGAACACAAATAGAGAGTTTCGTTTGTTGAAACCTTGTACACACGTTTGTACTGTGGCACTGAAGTAGAACGATGCCGAATAATGAACAAGACTCGCATCGCAGATACACAAATTGATGATTTTCAGGCGATAACGAACGACTGATCCCGGATGTCGAACATGAGTGCCGTCCTAATGGAGTTACCACATCAATATGTAGGCCTGTATTTTCCCTTATGAACAATATCATCGGTGATTGCAATTACACGTGATATTAATAAATTATATTACAGTACGCTGATCTTTTTTTCTACGTACCTGTCGGAACAGAATGCCGCAGTCAATTAGTACTGCGCCCGAGTTAATCCTTTAAGTGTAGATACTTGACGTATAGCCAACATTTCATGCCTGTGGGAAATATAAACTTTTCTGCGTTTTATAACTCTCTGTGCCGTGATGATGTGCGTTGGCGATGGTATACGACATACACCACGAATGTGACAGTAACTTAGATCGAACCTGTTATACACATTTGTAGGCCTATTATCGACTAAGTACCGTAACTCAGCTATGTGTTTTACGGCCTATTATCGATAAAGTTGTTTTATCAAGTCGAAAGGTTACAATGCAGATTCAAAGTTCATAAATAAACAACTCTCAACCTAGAAACAACGTTTTGCTATAAGCCTATATCATGACCGTACCAGAAAACCATGAACGACCGAGTTCACCACCAAGTGTTTCCTAATTGTCATTTGAAATCCCAATCGCCTAGTGTGCTGCTCATAGGAAAGCCGTAAGGGTGTGAAGAAATGTCTAATCTTAGGCATAAAAATTAACATTAAATAAAAAAAATTAACGTATGCATTCTATAGGTAACTCATCAGTGTCGCACGTTTTTAATGAGTTCGTATCCATATACTCCTATTGGAAGTTATGATAACATTCATAGGTCTTAGTCCTGATTGGCTGCACGTGCTTAAGTATAAATTATATATATCAGCGCGATCACGTGGGAATAGAATATTTCTTTATATGGTCAATCCAGACTACAGAGGGATATTTAATGCAGAAAAGACAAATCGCTGATGGATCATATTCATAACCTCTGACCAACGATACGTCTTTGTGCTCTGAGTAAACATTTGCGAAATGACGTCATTGGTCTACTGCATAATCGATTGGGCCTATAGACAGTAGACCTTACCAAATGTAACAGCAACCGGAACATTGAACTCTTCTCGTATTTTACAAATTTATCGTGAACGATAACTATACCCTAAGTTTCCAATGTTAATCACAATACAATAGTTTATTTGACAACGGTGACAAACGGACAACCCTACAACGGACAACGATGACAAACGGACAACCCTATTATTAAGGGTATTTCCCTTTCCGCAAACAAACGATGACGTCATTAAGTCTATCTTTAAGGCTCAAATTCGCCGATCCACCGGTTCATAAAAAAGTGTTGCTTGGGGTAGTGTATTGCACCATCCTCAGAACCGTTTGAGACCGTTTGTTTTCTTAAAGACTACAAATGATAGCTCTAAAATGATAATTAAACCATCAAAAGGCCCTTCAATACGTTGGTCTGAAACCGAAAGGTCCACTGATTAATCTCAGGTAAGATAGTATACCGTAATACATACTCCAAGTATTGGAATCAGGATGACATAAATAATGTCGAAATATTGAATCCCAACACGATGGCGTGCATTTCAATACTTATGTATTATGCTTTCTTACGTTGGTCTGGTTGGGTATAATCGTTTAGGTACTAGCAGTTCCTTTACTTGACGATGAAGGTAGTGATGGGGGCCACGATCACAGTTATGAACATGTAATAGGTATACTGCTTTTTTGTCTAATTAGACAACATGATGTTAATGTATAATATTTAATGACTCTAAAGCCACCTTAATAAATTTTAAAAAAATAATAATGTCTGGTGTCAATTTTCGATAACTCCACTAATTATTTATTATATTATTATTGTCATTATCATGATTATTATTATCATCATCATCATCACGTGCACAATATTAGGCCTATTAAATAATACGACTACTCAATACAGACCTAAATACATAATCAATATTTTTATCTGCACATAACACTATGTAGGCCTACTGTCAATGGAAATTATTCTCGCTACAGCACGATCAGAAATCATGAGTCAGTTTTAGCTAATAAGTGAAGTCGCTGGAGACGTGTGATTGTTATTTAATGACAACACCTGCAGTGACAATCGGTCGGTTACCACGCGATCCTTTGACGAACAATAAATGAATAAATTGATGGATTAATTAATACGAGGGACTAAAAAGCTGCTGTGGGTGCCTTGAATTATTGCTTTAAACTGCAGGTTACATTTAAACATTATTAGGCCTGTTACAAGGTTATACTGATCTTTAAGATTAAGATCATTATCTTCATGATTATACTTTTATACTACCATAATTTAATGATTATAATATTATTATATTATGATTATTACTATGATTATATTTTTATTACTTTTATTTTTCCTTGGGAACTGAACGAACCCACCAGCAGAGTTCACCAATTCAAACGTAATCACTAGAATAAATAACTTTTCTAACATTAAATCGTCGAAATCGATGTTTACGACCAAATCAAGTCATACTTTTATTTTAAGACCTATTATTATTATTTAGGCTGATTATTATTATCATTATTATTATTATCAACATCATCATTATCGTTATTATCATCATGTATGTATCCTACGTGGTGTACCGCAAGCATATATTATTATTACTTCGCCATACACACTTTCAAACATAATGATTATTATTATCCTTTTGTATGCCTTGTATTTTTTCGAAGAATTGGCCGTTGATCTTGTAGTCCAGGAAACTTTGGTTGGTAGGATTTTTTTTTTGCTATATTTTTTAAAAATTGGATATGATGTAGAGTAGACATAGATAAATAAAAAAAGTAAGTGCAACATTTTTTTTTTCATATGTAAGGGGGATTGCCAGCCGTTTCAAAATGGCTGCCATTTTTTCCTAAAATTGTCACTAATATTGACAATGCAGTGCAATGCAGTATTCAATTGGAAATCCAGTCATAACAATGACAGCAACAGTTAACTAAATATTGTACAAATTTTTGAGCTATTAAAATTTAAAATGGCTGCCATTTTCCATTATTTTAGCTTTTTAGCATACATATTAATATAATAATAACCGACCTGTACAAAAACTGTGATAGAGCTAGTTATATGCAATTGCCATATGCTGCTAATGGTTATTACCATAATATATATATATTATATATTGAAAACATACTATAAAACAACAATCAGCAATAGCTTGATATATATATATATACAGTATATATACATATGATATATATATATGTATATATATTTATATGTACAGTATATATTATATATACATATATATACATATATATATACATATATATACATATATATATTATATATACATATATATATATATATATAATGTGTGGGTGGTGTGTGTGTGTTAGTATTATGTAACCATACTACATACTGTGATTTACTTAATATTTACCTACATCAGTGATTTTATAATATGCTAATGTTCATTATCACTTTCTTCATCACTGTCACTGTCTGATGAATCAGAAACACTAGACAACAATGGAATGTTGTTGCAGGAAAGTGATAATGAACATTAGCATATTATAAAATCACTGATGTAGGTAAATATAAGTAAATCACAATATGTAATATGGTTACATAATACTAACACACACACAC